TTGTTCTTAGGAGGCGGGTGCCATGGCTGTTCTAACAGGGACACAGCTGTTCCTATCCTGCACAAAACACTACGGTATCCCTCTCCCAGGACAATCGCAGAAGGTGCCCCCCCCCCTCTCTCCCTCAACATCTGCAAATGCCAAGCACAAAAGAGAACTGAAAGAACACCGATCCCCCCTCCCCCGCTCCACCCAACTCCGACCGTTCCCCAACACCAACCGTCCCCCAACACCGATCATCCCCCAACACCGATCGCCTCCCCAACACTCCCCCCAACACCGACCCCTGCCCAATACCGCGCACAACCACCCGTCCTCGAACCAAACAAACCCACAAGTGAGCAGGGACAGATCGCTCAGCGGGGGTGCGCGCCACACTATATCGCATTGTACCGTACTCATAGAATACCGCTTTGTAACTGTACTGTATAATGCAGCCCAATATCGCTTCGAGAAGATGCATGTCCAGGGCGCGGGCGGGGAAAGGGGAGGGGCTGAAACAGCGGGTGGAGGAGATGGGGCAAGGGCGGGGGAATTTGATGGGGTACTTCAAAGTTTGATGCAAAGCGCATGATCGCACCGGCTCGCCTGGTACGTTCCAGCCTGGGTTTGTCTACAGATACTTATAAACCGTCTAGCCCAGTTATGGAATCCCACTGGAAGAGTGCATATACATGTATAACGAAGTAGTTGCGATATAGACTCCATGCACTGTTTGGCCTATATCACTATCTGGATACGCTCCGTAATTTACAGCGAATGGGTAGTGAAAAATTTTACCTAAAAGAACGCTGAAATGGTAAGCACACGAATTGCAAAATATATATTTAACAAGTATACGGAGAAACAGTCTGCATTTCATCCCTTAACTAAAAACATAGGTTTCGGTGCAGATTTTTTTGCATTTTTTGGTGGCAGCACTATCGTTCTGCAACAATAAGCGAAAATACTCTATGTTGTGCGCATGCATGTATGTATAAGCATTAAGGCAACGCCATTGATATTGCTATGATATTGCTTTATATTGATATTGCTTTATGAGGCCAGACAAAAAAGCAGGGTTGTGTGTAAGCAGCTCTAATGCTCTCCATTAAATATTCGTTTCGTATTTAGTAAAGTAAAGAAACAAAAAAGAACTCGTTATTAAGATTATGCTTGGAGAATACGATTATTTTGCTGATATTTAGGATCGTTTGTGCAGAACACGTCAAATCCAGCTTATAGCACATAAACTGCAGTCAGACCGATGAGAAGGAAGGGGCTGAATAACGAAAACACTGCATCTTTGAGGATGCATAAAAATTCATTTCCTGAAAAAACGCAGCATACCTAAAGGAAAACTGGTCCGTTTAATGGGGAACGATTTCGCCATGTACTCCAAATGAGCAGAGGAATGAGGGATTTGATTGTGCATTCTTCACTCAGCTTTGGCTCACATCAGTTATTGAAAGAACGACACAGAGTACAAAATATATATGTTCCTTAAACACTGAAACTTTTCAATCACATTTTCTTGACGGGTGGAGAAAATTGCTTGCATTGTTAACAAACGGTGGACGTTGTGCATTAGGAGGTTAAGGAAGTTTGTTCATTCTTCTTTTTGTTGCAAACGCGACAATTGTTTTCTCACCAGTATGAATCTTCATGTGTCTTTGCAAGTTTTCTTTCCGCCCGAAACTCGAATTACAGTGATTGCATTTGAACGGCTTCTCACCAGTATGAGTCTGCATGTGTCTTTGCAAGCTTCCTTTCTGCCCGAAACTCGAATTGCAGTGATCGCATTTGAACGGCTTCTCACCAGTATGAGTTCGCATGTGTGTTCGCAAGTACTCTTTTCGGCCGAAGCTTAAACTACACTGATCGCATTTGAACGGCTTCTCATCAGTATGGGTCTGCATGTGTCTCTGCAAGCTTTCTTTCAGCCCAAAACTCGAATTGCAGTGATCGCATTTGAACGGCTTCTCACCAGTATGCGTTCTCCAGTGTCTCCGTAAATTTCTCAGTGCATGAAATCTTTTGTCGCATTGTTCACAGTTGTATGGCTTCTCACCAGTGTGTGTCCTTAAGTGAATCTTCAACACTGACATAGCAGAAAAGATTTTACGGCAGTAACTGCATATAAGTGAGCGTCTACTACTGCGAGTTCTGCTTAAGCAGTGACTAGCATATTCAGTGCTTTCGCTTATACTGGCTGATGTCGTCCAGTGCTCTTCCGAAACTGGCCGGTGACTATCAGTGCAGTTGGCTGTATTGTTCTGTGCCTGATTCTTTAACTCGGTTGGGCTCGCAAGCTGAAAAATCGTTAAGAATCAGTCATCTTTTTTATTAACGCCAAACAGTAACTCAACGCTCTATTCGATTTACCCGTTTTTTATCCGAAAACAGGTTCCGCAGTTCAACTCTTTAGAGAAAGGGAAAATTCATATTTTCCTTATTTTCCAGTTTATTCTTTCATAGTTTGGGGAGATGACACGACGGGGATACCACTGCTGTCGTACTGAGGGCCGAGATTTCGATTACACTTGTGAGGCATCAAGGTCTTTATGATTCGTAGATTTGTTTTGACGTTATTCGGTGTTGGCATGCCAGGACGTCAAACCAACCACTAGTTTGCTTCTAAGCAACTTTCGATAGAGGGGATCTGTCTACAGCCCTGAGGGGACCATTGACAGAAGTGCTTCCGCCTTTCATACAGAGTGCATAGGGAAGATTTGCCTGCTATTATTATTATCATTATTGCACGTTATTGTTATTTCGATTATTCTCTCCACTCCCACCTTTAGATGATGAACATCCTTCTTTAACTGCTCATGTATCTTTCGGAAACCCAGGCTGGAACGCACCAGGCGGGCCGGTGTGATTATGCGTTTTTGCACTTTTCGTTCCGCAGCAAGATCGCAAGGAGTCAATGTAGCTAACTCTGTGAAATACTGGCCCTCGAAGTTCAGGAAGTTAATTGTGCAACTATGTGGTATGTCAGTTGTAG